AGTTCAACGGATAGAACTTATCGGTTTAGGCTTTAATTCAAAGAGATTGAATTCAAGTGTTTTTATCTTCTCATAATATGACATATAGATAGGGGGAGTTATGATTAACTTCGTCATCAATTGATTGTCAACATAAAAAATGGGGAGATTGTTGAATCTCGGATTTTGATGATGAAGTCAATTGATGGGTTAATTGATCTAATCCATATTATTGAGTTAAGTGTGCAGGATTAACTACGATAGCTTGAAGACATAAAGCAAGTTTACCGGAGTCAAGTTCGATGGGTGTTCAAGAGTCCGCCGAAAGTCCAAAGAATCGTCGGAAGTGCTGTTGGAACCAACCAAGAAAGAATCAGGGACTTGCCGAAGTTTTCGGAAGTCCGCCGGAAAGATCGTCAGAGGTTCGCGGAGATCACCGAGAAGGTTCGGATACTTGCCAAAGACTCGTTGAACTCGCCACAAGACCAGGAGCCTACCGGGAGTCCGCCGGAAGAAATCCGAGGGTGTATCGGTAGTCCGCCGGATGTTCGCCGGAAAGCTCGCTAGAAGGAAACTCGACGTTGCTGATTAAAAATTTGCTTAGGGCTATATCTTAATTTCGTAGTTTGCATATAATTTGGGTTAGGATTAAGGGTTAATCCCATAACCCGGTTAGGAGCCAATTAGACCCGAGTTTGGACTGGTTTGGGCCAAGTTTGGAGCCCAACCAGTGAGCTGGAACAGTCCAGGCGATGGCACCGCCGGACTGGGCAGTGGCACCGCCCAGAACCCGAGAGGTCCGGCGGTGGCACCACCAATATACTATCGGTGTCAGACACTGACAGGCGGTGGCACCGCCACTGATAGGCGGTGGCACCGCCAGCACCGGGAAACCCAAAAGTAATTCAAATTTGGAGCCTAAATTTGAATCCTCTTGGGGCCTATAAATACCCCTCAATTCTCAGTAGAGATGACACCTTTTTGAGAAGTTAGAAAGTGAGAAAAAGCTCTAGCAAAGTCTTGTTTTCAATAGCTTAAGTGTTCACCTCCCTCTTTCTCTTTGAAAAAAATCTGTAAGAGTGTGAACCACTTGTAAGAAGGTTGTAAGAGGGGTATTTGGTCCTTTCCCTTCAAAGTGATTTGCTAGTGGAAGTTGGGAGCCTCATCGAAAAAGGCTTCGAAAGTATATGTAGGTAATTTGACCAAACCACTATACATCGTGGTGTTCCTTAAATGTATGAGTGTTCAATTTTCTGAACCATTTCTCTACTTAGCTGCAAATCGTTCGGTTTTCATCTCCCTACTCTTGACTACCTTTACTCGAGCTATTTTAGCTAAGTCATCCTTCGTCGAATCGAAATCTCTACACATTTACAAAATCGATTTCAAACTTACGAGTTTTAATCCGCTGCACTAATTCACCCCCTCCCCCCTTAGTGCCGCTCCGATCCTAACAGTACCGCCCAGACACAGTCTTCTAGGCGGTGGTACCGCCCAATGTCAGGCTACAAGCGATGTTAACGCCCAGTGCAGACGATGGTACCGCCCAGTGCAGGCAGTGGTACCGCCCAATGCAGGCGGTGGTACCACCCGTACCCTGAAATTTCAGAGGATTTGAATTTTGGCTCCATTTTTCAAGTCATTTGGGGTCCATAAAAATCCTAGCTATTCTTGCATAGAGAAGCAAAAAAAGTGAACAAAAACTCTGTGTTTCTAAAGTTGAAAACCCTTGTAAAGTATATAGTCCCTCATCCTAAAGTTTAGAAATCATTCTAAGAGAGAGTGTGAGGGAAGCTTTGTAAAAAGGGGGTGTAAAGGTTCTCTCCTAAGCCTGCAAAAGGAGAATAAAGTTGTAAGAAGGAGGTTGATCTTCGCCTATTAAAGGAAGATCATTAGTGGATGTTGGTGGCTTCGATGAAAGGGGATTCAGCGGAGTGGATGGAGGTCACGGCGACCGAACCACTATAAAAACTTGGTTTGCATTTCTATTCTTGCTATTTACCTTCACTGCAAACTACTTACTTGCTTTACTTTCATTACACTTACGAATACAATTTCAAAGTTAACATCTTTCCGAAACGATTTTCATCGAAATCAGTTTTAATCGAACGAAGATTTTTTAAACCGACGTAATCTTTCCGCTGCACTAATTCACCCCCCCTCTTAGTGCCGACTCGTTCCTAACACCTAGTTGTTGCCTTTTCATAACAAATCAATATGTAAATTTCATGCTATTATTTCAGAAGAGCAACTGAAATTTTAAGTTAGAACACTTCAACAAAAAGTAACAAATGGCATTAGTGAACTTCTATCTTTTGAAATTTCCGCAAGAAGCTCATCTTTATCCTTCAACTTATACAAAACTCAAGACAAAAGGCTCTTACAAACAAGGTTCGTCTTACCGATCCCGATCCGTACTAGTATACCAACTAGTCATCAGTGTAGTACATGTCGAGGCATACCAACTCACCATATGCCAAGGCATACCGATGGTACAATAAAATTACCAAAAATAGCTCCAAAAAATATTGAATAATAGAAGAAAAAAAAATTATATTAGGGTTTTTAAGTTAAAAATAAATATAAATTTAGTATAATTTTAGCAAAAATAATCTAAATTAGGAAAAAATAGGAACACATCTTTTTCGAGCTTTAAAAAGTAGTTTTGTAGTACGTTCCAAACCATCCTTCCGTTAATATTGAATTATCTACAAAGAAATAATTCAAATTGTTAGATTATTTTTTAAGCAACTTCAACTTTAAGATTCAAATGAATCAAGTAATCAATCGATAGATATATTATGTTCTACCACTAAAAAGAACGACGGGACTCCATGGGCATTGGATCGGGATCCTCAATCTTATGTATCTATATATCAATTTAATATGTTTATCGGATCCAATCCTGAAATTGATCCCACGACATAATATACTGATGCACCGTCTGCCATTAGTACATCAATGTGATGATGGTCGTATTCTAATCGTCATGAACCACGTGTCCGAGGCGGCTCCTAAGACAAGGACGATTGTGGCATGTATTAGTACGGAGCATGGAGAGTGTTAGAAAATCTACTTTCGTCACTAATTGTTGCTCCGTATTATAAGATCAATCACTATACTACTACTTGAAGAAATATGACCAACTAACATCATACTACTGTTGGCTATAAGATTCTTCATAATACGACAGTTGCGAATACAATGAGCTTCACTATATGTCTACGTCATGTATGCTCTATCGTATCTACTCAAAATCATCCATTGTCTTCCCCTTTCGTGTATAAACTTGACCAGTAGCTCATTGAACTCCATAATCTAAATATTAGGTGGCATATGAAAAATATTGCTTCTCGATCCATGCACCACCCTCAAATTGTCTAAACGGGACCATCGACTCCCCAGTGTCACTGCCATCATCGGTCGAGGCATTGCTATCCACGTTGCTGTTATGTCTATGGACCGAGCGAGCTGTTGAATGCGATTAAGAACGTGTCTTGTCGCCCGACTTGATTCTTTCCAACAATACGACTGATGCTACTGCCTTTCCCTTCGCCTTCGCCTTCGCCTTTGCCTTTGCACACTAAGCGGACGGCTATGACGGTTGAGTGTCTCTAGTTCCTCTTGATTAGAGTGTTCTTCCTCTTAATCCTCCCAAATTAGCCTCCAAATTTAATTTAATTCATGAATCACAGCTTTGTTGAGTTTAGTGAAAATATAAGAATGAGAGAGAGATATGAGTGAGAAAGAGTTTGAAAGAGTTTAAGAGAGTGAAATGAGCTAAAAGAGGAGGGAGGAAAGAGTTTCAAATTGCCATTTGAAACAACGCAATCCCACCCCTTGATCGGTAACAATCAAAATCCGATCGTTACCGACTAATACAAGTCAATAACAATCGGATTTCGATCGTTATCAACTAGTACTTTCCCTGTATAATGTGATACAGGGTCATGTAATGTGTACCGCCCGATATAGGGCAATCCGCGTACTGATCCCCTATCAAACTACATACCGCCCATATCAAGCGGTACACCTCGGGACGATGAACCCTACTTACAAGGATTAAAAAGTAGTGCTTCCAAGACAATGTGAATCCAGATCACAACTTCACTCCTTTGGTTTATGTTGATGAGTGTGGTAATCCAACTCAAACTGGAATTGTATAGCTCCACCAAGGAACCAAGCTAGATCATAGCAGATTTAGGTAACACTGGAATTTAGAGCTCCTAACCCAAATTTGATTCTCTCTCAGAGAAGTCCATGACTAATGTCAGAAATCAGAATCAATTTGACCAATGAAAGTTGTCACTTATACATGAAAAAAAGACAGTAGATATGATCATACATTAGATTCTAAAACAAACTTTGGTACAAATACCAATCAGACCAATATATATCAATGGAGTCTTTACTTTTTATTAATTTTTTTCCAGTGATATTAGGTGGTATAGGTCGGTATACCAGTACCAGAATGATCCGACAGTGTCAGAACCGGCACTCCCTGAGAATTTAAAACTTGCTTACAGCAAATTGGCATATCAATAGCAATTTCCATTAGAAAAGTATTTATGTAAAATATTGCCTCCACAATACTAGTTCAGAAAATCCACTGCCAACATATAACCCGGTCGATGTTCATACAAAATGTAATCCTCCAGCTTTTTAGAAGCTTTAGAAATGGTGGGGAGACATCGATGCATAGGTGGACTAAAAGAAAGCACAACATACTTTGTACTTGAAAGGCCCAACACGGAGAACATCAACCTTTAACAAAACTCTTGTGAAAAGGTTTTGATATAGATAATCCAACCCCATTTATAAGCACCACCACACTAGATGGGAGTTAATAGGTGGAAATTCAACAATAAAATGATGACTTGATTTATGTTCTTTCCTAACAAATATTCAGAAAGGAAGCATATTGATATTTTTTAAGGTCCTTTATAGCGAACGCAGATCGAAAGCAAAGAATATTATGGCAAATAATGTTATAATAATTGGTAAAAAACTCAGTGTCACACCTTAGATAGTAAATGGGCAATGGAGGAACCCATTGCTTGCATAACGTCAACTGCTGAACTAACAGCATTTTTTACATCAACTACAGCTGCCTGAAACACAGAGACAAACAATTAAAATATTTTGTTAACTAAAATTAAATATAATTTTCTTTTATAGGCATAATAAGCTACATATATAGAATGAACGAATGTTATCATGTCATCAGTATGTAAATACCTTTGCACCTCCGGTAATAGGAAGACGTAGGGTGCTTGCATTTAAAGCTTCCACTGCACCAGATAAAGAGCTACAATGTTCCCTTTCTAATGCCACCCAACATTCAAGGTATGCCATCTACAAAGTTGTTCATAGAAGAACTTAAAAGTTAACCATCCAATAAACAAATTCATATGTTGCCCTAACAAACCAATGTGAATGTGTATCAGAACAAAACTGACAAACCTGTTTAACATGTTCAAAACTTATGTGGTAGTTTTAACAAACTTTAGAAACATAATACACTAAAGAAACCATGCATCTACTAATGATGACATTCAAAACTGGTCGGGAGTTTAAAATAAGTGGATCAAAGGGAATACATAATTATACAGCACTAACATCATGTGATGCCAGCTACTCCTTGGTCCAAACTTTGAAGTCAAAAAGCTTCATGTGGTCAAAAGTTTAAGCCATGATCATAAATATATGCTACATTTCATCCAAAACCATGAATTATGATGATTGGTAATTCAAAGAACAGAAACAACTTCAAATTAATATATCAAGCAAATTGATTTTGCTACTTATTGTTTTAAACCGTCAAAAACTTCAGATGGCATTTAGCCTGTTGCAAAATAATGAACATTTTATTTTATTCAAAACTATAACATTAAATGGTTTATCAGTATACTGATTAAACATTTGATAAATGACTATAAACTCAATGATATGTGTTATCATGGCAGTTAGCTAAAGAGCCTTTTAAACAACATTATATCTTGTGGTGAATGACTTAAGCTACATCAGATATCCCCATCAGATGCATGTATCTCAGGAGTTTCAAAAAACTGGGTTTGCCTCTGTCCATTCGGCGAGACAGATAAAATTTATAAACAATGCATCAGCAATGATCCTCTGATAATGGTGTTCAAGAGTCCATGTAAGTTGTCAAAGATGACCAAGTGACCTGGGTCAAATTTAGACTATTGGAACAAGTAAATGTAGACCTATGAATTTGACTAAGATTAAGATTTATCAAGACCAAATAGAAATTCATCAAATTATCCTTCTCCTAAAAAAAACAAAAGCTGCAGTTCTAATAAGACATTGGCTATACACAAAACATCAGATGATGAATAAAAAATGGTAATATCCTGTGTTTATTCAATTCCACATTGGCTATAAGTGCCATGATGAATGAGGTGATAGAACTGAATGAACCAAATTGTACCTGTTCTTTCAAAATTATACGCAACTTCATTTCCAGCTGCAGACACTGCACATCAATTCTTTTCAAGATCACAGGATCATGCAATTTTGAAATTCTATTCCACACACTGTGAAGAACATTCTGTTTTTTTATCAACAGTAAGATAACCATGTTAACCAAGATATACCAAGAGAGACTTTGACTAAGGTAATTTAGTACAATATCACGGGCATAAAAATAACAACATAAGAAAAGGAAAAGATTAATTCTCAAAACAAGCAAAAGTAGCAATTCATCCAATTTCTTGTTACTTCCTGCTAACAATAACATGTTGGTCTATGCTTATCACCTAAACTCTATTATGTATAAATTATTAAGGAATGTCAAAGTGAGCATATTTCTTCTTAGTCGCCCTCAGCATATACTAATGTCCGATTGATCAGAAAAATGCCAACAAGAATGAAATTTGCAAAAGAAGAAAAGAAAGTGTGCTAAAGGAATAATGGCATCACATTGTCTGCCAAATATCTAAACACTCAAACATTCATCTTGCCTTAGAAATCTGCTCGAATATTTTATGCATAACATAATGTGTAAAAGAGATGTCAGAAACAAGAGTAACGTATTCTATCAAGCAGAACTTTGTATTTCATCCTAACAAGTCATTCTTCCTTGGATAGAACTAATAATACCTCTGTCTTCATTTTCTGAACCAATAGTGTCTTGTCTGCTCGAGCGTTGACAAAGCACCACCGCAAGTTTGCATTATAAAGCAGCTTTAGCTGATGAGCATCTTCTATGTGATTTCTATTCTTCTTTCCTTTTCGCACATCAACACTGTAGTTAAGGACAGAGGATGTGCCAACCATTCTGCTAGTAACGTTGCTAGATGATGAGACCGGAGTAGATGGTCTTGTCCTTGAAGGACTTGACATACCCCTAGCAGTATATGATGATGTTGATGTTGACAAAACCTTACTCGGTGAAGAAAGGCTACGCAAACCTGGGACTGGCGATGACTGAGTCTTATTTGACCGTGTTATTGATGAATATCTCATGGAAATTTGTGAAGAGGACTTTACAACTGATTTCACACACTGCTCTGCTCTTCCACCACCATCATTAAATACTCGCTCCGTAACCTCACTTAAAGATGGCTGGGGAACTCTAGTTGCACTATCAGATGACGGATTCGTTCTCTTTGGGGAGACCCCCCGTGATGCAACTGTTAAAGATGCTGATCTACTAGACCTATCAGAGAGATCCACACTTCTTGACAAGCCATTTGCAGACGACCTTCCTCCCAGCATCCCAGGCCACCGACATTGATCGATGACCCTTGCATTTGAGTTATCCAATGGTTTAGAATTCTCTGATTGGTCAGATGAGTTTCTTCCTCTCAGAAGAGTCCTCTTTCTCTCAATTACTATATTGGCCGGAGACTTAATTGTTTTCTCTGAGGAATTCACAACCACTTTTTCTTTTTCACTTACAGAAATTATGGGAGAATCTGACTGGAATGAGGAAGACAGGCTCCGCATTGATGGCCACAAACCATCGGGAGTCCTGTTGCTGAGTAAGCGCCGCGTGGTGCTGTGAATTTCCGCCACCATATCATGTGCTGGTGTTGTTGATCTAGAAGATGGGGAAGAGCGTGTAGAAGAACTAGAAGGGGATGAGGGTGCAGAGAACCTCGATGAAGGGGTTGTTGGTCGTCTCCTCTCAGCAGATTGGGGCCGCTTAGGCAGTGACACCGCAGGTGCAGGAGATGTGTGACTGGCATTTGGAGAGGGGTGTCGTCTTGGTGAACTAGGAGTTAAAACAGGGGTAGATGAGATCCCAGACTTGTACGTAGAAGCAACATTCTTGGGCTTGCAGGTGGCAGAAATGTCATTGTTCTTTTTGGAAGGGAGCAATGGCAACCTATGCTTATCTTCTGTCCAAGATGTCTTCTGCTGTGCCAAACGCCCTCGGTGCTCAACTCCACCTATATCCATTCACTGCCTCCTTCAAATGAAACCACATTGATGAGTTCATGAATCAGAAACGACCTATTTGTGGCAACAGCAGCATCACCACAAATCTGACACAGAAAGACTCCACACTAGTAAGGTGGATTGACACATAAAAATAATAATATCATGAAAGAAGGAAAATTCACAAGCAAAAAAAGAAGTTTTCTAGTGGAAATCCCATGCAGAATGATCCAAGGACAATCTAAAGAGGCAAGAACCGCACGATGGAGCACTCAGCTCGGTTCCCACTCCAAATTCCTCAGGAGGAACGGAGGGCACATCAAGACAGAATTTTCACGTGACAAACACCATAAAGGGGGAGGGGGGGTGGGGGTTGGGGGGTTTGGGTCCCATAACAAGCACAAGACCAAATGAAGATTACCAGCAGAAGACATGGGGGGGATAAGCAAAGAAATCGGCCGAACTATGGAGGATGGTATGCATTAGAGATAACATTTACTAAATACACCATAACATAATATTTCGGTTGTTTGTCGTCTGTCAGAATGCGTTCCTCGCAATCCCATTTGCTCTCCACAAAAGAAGTTAAAGTGAAAGAAGAGAGAGATGAGAGGAAGGAGAACAATTGGAACGAGGTGAGAACCTAAAAATAAAAAAGAGCTTCACCTGTAGACACATAGTGAATTGATGAAATGAATCTAATTATAGGCAGGAAGAATGAAGATTCCAGGGTTTTGGGGAGGGGAAAACACGTACACGTGAATAAGAGTAACAATTTGCGCCAAGAACAAACGAATCGACGCACAATTACAACTTTTTCTTACCTCTACGATGTGATCATCCAGCTCTTTTTATTTTCGACGTATGTTTCACTCTCGTCGGATCAACACAAATCATATAAGAAAAGTCGGATAGAAAGCATTGATTTTTCCACCAGAAACCGGCGGATTCCATCAACCCAAGGCCACAAGAACAAAAACGACAACTATACATCTATAAATCATTGCGAATTCCATACAAGTACTTGGAAATACACAACCCAAGTCTTCGAAATCATCAAAACCGATAAAAACAAAGCATCTCACCACGGGAATCGTGCACGGTATGTCGTGGAAACCGACGAGCCGCAGCGGCAGCGAGAAAACCCTAATCTCGCGACCGGGACGGCGCCGTCGATTCGAGCTTCCTCAAACGTTGAGGATAGAAAAAAAGTACCAGAACAAGAAAAAGAAAAGATGGGTTTTTGGTTTAGTTGTGGTGGAATTCTGTGGGAGGAAAGGAAGAGGAGAGGACGGTAGGCAGATGTTTCGGTTGGGAAAGAATGGGGGTTAGAGGAAGAGCGGGGGTTTCCTTTTTATTTTATCTTTATGTGACTATATGTTGCATATAATATGTAAAAGTATAAGATGAATTTGAGACCTAAGCTCACATGCCCAGTCGTCATGCCAATTTTGACCCTTCCTTTTCCAAGTCGATAAGATTTTTCTTCTTCTTTGCATTCCCCTTTGTGTAATTAAAATTGGACGAAGGTTCAGAAAAGTTTTTTTATTTTTTTAATAGTATTTTTTTTACATAATATCTTGAATATATTTTTCTCTCATTTTCTATACATCGGTTCATAAGGTGACCCGATCCGGTTATTATTATGTTTAGTAAAATCGAATAGATCGATTCGTCTTATTTATACTAAGTATTTATACGATTTATTTATTAAAAATGTTATAATATAAATATAAAAAATATTATAAATGGACCAGTTAACCTTATGGATTGATCTCTAAGAAAAAAAAAATGAAGATTAAAACAAATATTGTTAGAAAATTTTAAAAATAAAAAAAATTCAAAATTCACCCATTAATCTTCCTAAGTTAACTACACTGTTAACAATAAAATAAAATAATAAATTCCAGAAAACACTATGATTATAAAAACTTTTGTTTAAGGTAACTGGCTTTTTAGCTAATTTTCATACAAATGATCATATCACAATATCAATTTTGTTATTTGCAAAAACTTTCTCCGTAAAAAATTGTTTCGCATTAATTCCTTATGCAATGTATCCGATTTATGTAACGTTTCATATCCTTCCAAATAAGACAAGAGCGATATATATATATATATATATATATATATATATATATATATATTCATTAAAATATTATTTAGCTAATAATTAATCTGTAAATTCGAATTTCGGGGAAGGGGGAAAAGAATTGAATTTGAGGGTGGGTTTGGTCGCATATCGGGTTTTGTTGTACACGCCACGGCGTCATCCTCATTGGCCGGAGGAATAGACCACGCCGTCTCGGCTCGAAACGCGTCACGGCTGAAACGTCGGATATGCCGCAGCATCAGTTTAATAAAATCGATCACAACTCGGGGCGCCCACAAAGTTCAAGCGACGCCTCGCCGTTCATGGTTAATCTTATCGTGTCCCCACGTGCATCAGAAACGAACAGAGGGGAATGATCTGCCGCACGAGTTTCCACCGTTCGACCGTCGCGGTTACCCGTGTGCCTGTTGGATGCCTCAAGCGGGTTCGTGTGGGGCCCGCGTTGGGCTAGGAGAACACGCGGTGGGATATCGGTGCCAGAAGCCGGGGGAGGCACGGCGAGGCGAGTTCCCGTAACCGGAGGGCCCAGGACCCGCTTCCAGTCACATGGCGGCGAGGACCACCACGTGGGAGGGCCACAGCTTCGCTGGGCCCTCAGGAGGAGGGTGACCGATAATGACCGTTCGATCATTCGGTCCCTTTCTGATCGTGACCCGCCAATCCCGCAGCGGGACCAGGTGAGAGGCAGCTACCCTGGAGGCCACGGCATCGAAGAGGGACGCGGCTCCCGTTTCGCCATCGAGCGACCATATAGAGACAGCGCTTCTACCATTGGACACGTCCACGGGTCCACAACTATGATCCAATGAGAATCGTCGTTCTCTGTATGGTCCCTGGATTAAGAGACGGGATCCAACGAGTAGTGTCCACTATGACACGTCATGATGCCGTACATCATCCAGTGGCGAGATGATGGCGTGTCTCGGACTCTCGGGTTCATAAAGCCTTTATATATATATATGTATATATATATATATATGTATATGTATATATATGTATATGTATATGTACATATACATATATATACATATACATATATATATATATATGTACATATACATATATATATATATATATATGTACATATACATATATATATATATATATATATATACCAACATGATTTTGCTGTCAACATGATTTTGCTGTCACTGTTTCGCTAACTAATAATACTATAAACACTTTTTCCTTACATTAATTATCAAGAATAAAGGTACAACTATTTAGTCGATCACATGATCCAAAAGAGTATGTCTCTGCTTGCATGTATTAGATTAACCCTTTGTTGATCCAACAACAACAAAGCATGACACGATGACTTCCTTTAGAATATGCGTTGGGATTAACAATGAAGAATTTGGTTGACTTGTTGTCGAAACAAATGAGGTTTGATAAGGTTGTGGAGGGCACGTTGAATGGCACCGACTGCAAAGTCAACGCACACCACCGTACAAGAAGTCGAAGACATTGCGATGCGAACTTAATATAATTCTTTGGACTTCATAATATGATTGTAGCATCGATTTTGAAGTTATTTGACCTTATTCGCTTCATATTTATAGGTTGGGAATAAGATGATGCTCTCGGAAGGAAGTGTTATCTAACCCAAAGTAGAATCAAGAAAAATGTCTATTTAGGATATTGTATAAATTTGTGAGACGAAATACTTGAGTTGAGATTATTCAGATAATTCTTACAAAACTTGCTTAGATAAAATTTGATTAATATGGTATGATAAACTCATGCAAGTAGCCTTTGTATGATTTGATTGATACTTCATCATCCATTTTGGCATAAACATAAACAAAAACAAAATTGATAGATAATGCAGGCCATGCAGAGGATCAGTTGTTTGATGAATGTGACCTGCAACGGCGACAGTGAATCCATCAGAATTGCATTGCACACCAAAAACATAATTCTGACAAAGGAAGCATTACGATCAATAATATAGTCATGTGTTAGAAGAGATGGATGGGTAATCGATGGAGGGAAACAGTCCTTGCTTGGGTTTGTTTTGAGTCTTCATTAGCATAGTGTTGTTAATAGAGAGGTTGCAATCAAAAAAAGAAAAGAAAAAACCATCGTTTCTATTCTTCCAAAACATCCATAAAGAGGTAAAGATGATAGACAGAAGACAAAAAAAGAAAAAAAGCAGAGCTTCAATCAAGATGATCTCGCTCTTTAATCCACACACTCAAAGGTCAATCAGTAAAGTGTTTACAACGAATACCCAAGGAAGACTGAATAAAACTACGTGTGAACAAAATTATGAGTAGAATTATCTAATGACCAGATGAAGAATAAGATAATAGTGAATAAATGGTGAGAAGTAGGAAGATGATTCCAAATGTTTTTTTTTTAATTGACTTTATAATACTTCAAATTCCCTTACAGTCATATCAATTATGATCTATAGGAATATAAATAGATGAGATAAGTTTAATAAGATCATCGAAGAAGAAAGAAAAGAGAGTGAATGATTTGAAGATTCCAAGTATGATTAAAGATAAGATCATATGTAAGATTAAATTTAGAGGTTAAGCTTATATTAACAAAGGTAGGCTATCTATTTAAAGCGATATTAGTAATCCAGGATCATTCCAAATATTAATTAAACGTCTAAGGCCATCTTTTACATATTGTAAAATTAAGTAAGAAGATTTTCAACAGTTAGCATAGGGAGTTTTTTTTTTTGAAGAGTACCATATGTAATAGTGAGGATAAAAGATAATAAGAAACTATTTTAGTTAAGAATAGGAATAATTCTTCGAGCACTAAGAAAGAGTTGTCTTAAGTTTCCTAAAGAAAGGCTTCGAGAGAAATTGAATTGATCACATAGTTAATATGTCAACTTAAGAGATATAATTCTTCTTATGCCAAACCTCAATAAGAATTTTGTCAACAAATTTGTCTTGATAAGATTTGGGAATAAGATGATGGTTCACATGAGTTTGGGTAATAAGGGACAGCTGTCTTCTCTAAATTTTAAAATACTTTTTATTTTATTTTTAATAACAAGAGAATAATATTAAGAAAAATAAATAATAGATTTAGTATAATTCATACTCAAGCCATAAGATTTGAGTAAACATTCAAAACACTAACAAGGTTTAAACAAGATTTTTGGGTGGCCCGATAATAATTAGAATATTATCAGCAAACATAAGATGAAAAAACTTTAATATTGAAAGGGCTAATTTTTTATTATTAACAGCAATATCAAGGAGTAAAGATAAGATTTATTGAACAAGTACAAAAAAATAAGTTGACAAAGGATCACCTTATCTTTAAAAGCTCTTAAAAGAATAAGAATTAAGACTATTAATACAAAAAAAAAAGAAAAAAAACAATACAAATCATTTGATAAAAGGAGGAGAAAAGTTCATATTATTAATAATATGATAAACAAAGGATCTATCTTTCTATAATGTGAAAGGCCTTTTGAATGTCAATATTAGTGAAAGCATGAGAGCTTATAGCTTTAGAGTTATACATAAAGTGGATAGATAGATTCATTGACAATGATAATATTATCATATGAATAATTATGTGGATGAATGAAGACAGATTAGATTGTTCGTTATAAGTTAGATGGTTAAGGAGAGGCTTAATTATTTTGGCAGTGACTTTAAAAAGCAGCTTAAAAATGATATTACAAAATATAATAGGTCTAAATGAGTAATATTTTGAGGGTTTTGCTTTTTAGGAATCAAAATAAAGAGTAGTGTTAGACCAAGAGATTGGAAGATAAAAAAATTAGAATGAAAGTCACTAAAAGCAGTAAGAATGGAATTATTAATAGAAGACTGACTAAAAACCCTTAGACAAATCATGGGGCATTGATTATTTGTATTAATACAAATCATAGTACTAATACAAACATTTAGAATTCTAAATGTTTGATTTGTATTAGTACTATTATTAGAATTCTAAATGTTTTGAGTACCGATGATAAAGATACCTTTACTAATAAAAATAGGATCTTAAATAGTAATACCAAAAGCATATGTTAAAAAATGAATAGCATTCAAGTGTTTTCTAATACGAATAGAATTATGAAAATATTTACTACTTTTTTTTTTGTCTCTCGTCGCAATCCAATTAACCTTAGCTTTGTTGAGAGTTATAGATTCCTTAGGAAGAGAACATCCATCCTAAAATAAGGTTAGAATGAGAAAGAGGATTCAAGTTTTCCTTCCTTCAACTAATAAATAGTAATTTTGGAATTAGTGTA